CTCCACCCTCTTAATGACTATTTCACTATTTCAACAATATATTCCTATGTTTCATTTATTCTTTTCATCTTTATTCTCCTTAGTAAGTGCAGTTGATACTGCTATTTCATTTTATCTTACAGCCAATCACACAAAAATCTACTCATTTTTTTGTTTTCTATCACCTTTTCTGTGATTATAATCACTTCATATGCATATTGCTTTACAAGTTTTTAAACTATTTTGAATTTTATTGTTTCTTATCTAATTAGTTTAAATATTATTCAATATATTTTGTTTTATGTGTGATTGTTTTTTTTTAAATTTTTTACTTACTATTTGGTAAACTTTTATTGAAAAGGGTATTTTTAGTATTACGATTGAGAGCATTAGATTTTTTTCCCAATTTTACTAAATTTAATAACTGTTATCAAATAATAATTTGTTAATATTTAATAAATTAACCAAGTATATAATAAAGACTAAAATAATGTGAACACTATTTTCTAAGGTTAGAATAATGGTTAGGCATTACAGTTGTCAAACAATCATCAATTCAGTATTCATCACATTATAATGGAAATTAATAAATTAAAATTATACTTTCTGAACAAGGTAAAGATCTAGTACTAGATGATTCTAATAAATAGGGCCTGGATTTACATGTTTTTTTCTGAACAGGCCAATAAATAGCTAGGTAAACTTCAAGTTTAATTTGCAGTCAACAGATCTGAAATATAAAGTTTTATTTTGCATATTTTGTTATTTTTTGACATGTACTACATATTTCTAGATTTTACAATTTTTGTATTGCATATATACTGTAAATGCATAATATGTAATATTTTGCTTATTTTAATTAAAATAACATATTTATAATTGTATTTATAGTCCATGCTATTTGGCAAAATCATATTCTTAACTTATCTGCGACCTATCGAGACAAGTAGTCATCTTTTATTAAGTAGGTTTTAGTGAATCATACATTAGTCATGTTTTTTGTGATCTGAGTGCGCATAATTTTTATTTTATAGGGTATATTTCTATAAAATAAGAGCATAAATGCATATTTTATAGTGAATATTTCTGAGATTTTTAGAGCATATAAATCCGGGCCCTATAATAATAAATATAAAATATTTTGTTTGGAAAAACAGAAACACATCAATCAAATAATAAATATATTGTAAGCATAATCATTATTCATTGTACTACCCTACTTTTACCATAAAAATTCAAGTTATTTAGGAAAAATTCCAATAAAAAGCCATAAATTCCATTCTAACAAAACATTTTAATATTATACTTACTGAATTTTGACAGTTAATATTCAACTTTATTTCTCAAGGACATATGGTTAGGAAATGTATGTATACCTTAAGAAGAAAATATTATCTACTATTTCTTAAGTCACTTAATGAAAAATTTAACTTAAGAAGAAAGAAAATTTAAAGAGTTAAATGTGTAAAGGTAAAAAAATGTATTCATTTACTTAACATTCAACTGTTCATATGTATAACTAAAATACTAAGTATGGAATTTATTATGACTTGTACTAATTTTTTTAACTAACAGTGTATTTGAATGAAATATATTCAGGTTATCCTGAACTTGGAAAAAAAACTATAAAACTATTTTTTTGAGTAAGTGGTGAATTCTTTATAAATTTTAAATGTTCTCAATTGTTTGGCTAAAAAGATTTAATATTATCACTCGTTAAATAGCCTTATTATTTGTTATAACTTGTAAACCTCATCAACTGTTACATGGTATAAAATAAATAAAGACAATAATGGTTTATATTTTGTATTAAATTTAGCTTAAAGATAACATAAAAACTCTTGAAATTGATCTTGAAAATGAACGAAAAAAAATTTCTGAATACCAAATAAATATTCAAAACAAAGATGCTGAAATAGAACATTTGAATAATTTAAAAAAAATTCAAGAAGAAAAAATTGCTGATTATATGTAAGACAAATTTAATAGTATTTATACAACTATAAGTAGTTATCTTAATAATTGTTTATGTAGGCATAGACTACAAGTTGAATTAAACAAAAATACTGAACTCAAATTAAATTTGTCGAAATTTGAAAATCATATTAAAGAATTAAATAATAAGATAGAAATCTTCAAAGCCAAAGAGCTACATTATGCAAATGATAATTTGGTAGAGGTAATATTTTTATTAAGCTGTTAATTATAAAATAATTTTACCTTGTAATACATAATATTTATTAATTATTACATATTATAACCTTATTTAGAAACTGGAAAATGATTTAGTAAAAGTATTGGATACAAATGAAATGTTAGATAAAGAATTAACTAGAATTTTAGACATTAAAGAAGAAACTGACCAACACTTAATTGAGGCTTATAAAAAAATTGCTGAGCTTGAAACTCATAAAAACCAAATTTCACTTTTATTGGTATTTATTTAAACTTAAGTTTAAAATTGTTTTGATATTTATTTTGTGTATATATATTATCAATAATATTTAGGAACAACTAGAAAGTAAAAATCAAATGATTGAGGCATTTAAACATCAACTAGATAATGCAGAAAGTGTTATAAGAGATCAACAAACAAGAGCTGATGAAGATAAACAATTTTTTGAGTTTAAGGTAATAAGAAAGAATTAAAATTGTTTATTTAAATATATTTTTTTATGAAAATCATTTTAATTTATAGCTTTCAGACTTACAAAAAGAACTGAAAGAAAGTCAACAAAAATATCAAGAAATAATAAATGATTTTGAAACTATGAAAAACTATGTAATAAAAAATGAAAATAAAACTGAAGGTATACAATTGATTTCTGAAAAAAATGTAAGTATTGTTTTTAATTAAAGTTTAAATTAACCATGCAAGCTCCAATTACACCAAATAATTATTTATCCAAGGAGATCTATTGATTTCAATATCTAATTATTATTAATTTCACTAATGAAAATATTTTCATTTTTTTTTTTTTTACTTAATTTAAAATTCATCTAGTATTAAACCATATCACATCTAACATGTTTAAAAAGTTGTAATTTAAATATCCAAAATCCAAAAAAACATTAATCAAAACTAGAAACAATTATATGTTAATTAATGATTATACTGGGCATATTGTATCCACAGACATTTTTATTATCTATTTATCTGCATGAATTTTTCAATTTACCTTCACTATTTTTATAACTTAGTATAATCAATTTATGTAGCTAACTAACGCATAAATCTAAAAACTAAAAATTGTTTAATTCAAATATATAAGCTCTCTGTTTGAAATAAGAATAACCCAATACGACAACCAATTTTTTTTTTTATGATACCCTCTATACTCACCGCTCATTAAAAGCATGACTGCCAACTGGATAGCGACTAATTTTGCATCTGTTTCATATAGCTTTTTCATACTCTTGTTTATCATCTATTGGCGCACTAGAATGTTGTTTTAGATGGGTGACTAGTAATTTTCCTAGCATGCAATGAGTTGAGCATAGATAATTAAGTTATCTTCTACTTTCATATCTAACAATTGATTGTGCTTCATAAGATATTATAACAGTAGCTCGAGTTAATTATTACCAAATATTTAAGAAAATTAATAATTTTAGGATAATTTGGAATTAAAATTAATCAGTGCTGAAAAAACTGCAATTGAATGGCAACAAAAATATAATGAGTTATTAAATGAAAACCATGAAATAAAAAACAAAGTAACATTTACATTAAAATTTGATTCATTATTATTATTTGGTAACATATTAATTTTTATTTAGTTTGAAAGTCTGGATGCTGAATGTAGTCATTTGCAAAACAAAATTACAGAATTGCAGAATAAGCTTACATTAAGTGATCATTATAAAAACAGATTGAAGATCGATATTCAGGATATAACTACACCTGCAGACTTGGAGTTAAAACACTCAAAATTGATGGTAACAATCTATTTTATACATTTAACATATTTATTTATTTGTTTACTTATATGCTACTTGTAAATAATATAGCTTAATTTGGAAACTGAAAATGTATCACTAACAAGAAAACTTACAGAGACACGAGAAAAGTACAATAAGTGTCGAGCTCATCTGGAGGACATAAAGACTATGATAACAAGTCAAAATTTAAAAAATATTGTCCAGGAAAATATGGAACTTTGCAACATAAGAGTAATAAGAGTACATTGATGAGTTATATATGCTGTATAATTTTGATTTTTTTTTTTTAATTTTTTAGGATAAATTACAAAACGAAGTTAGAGATTTAAAATGTTATAATCAAGATTTAAATAGAAAGTTGTTAGAAAAAAAGGTAATAGCAATTTTAAATAATATTTAATTATTTGAACTGTATTTTATTCTGTAGAGTGAAAATCATTGGCCTGTAGTCAGTAATCAGCACATTTCACGAATAGAAGCTCTCTACCATTCATTAGTTTGGCAAAAGATGTATCTGGTAAAGTTGGCTAGAGGCAAAGACAAGTTGCTAAGATTTGTCATTCAAGAATGGCCTGACTTAGATAATAGTATCGTCAAAACAATGATGCAAAGAATATGTGCCAAGAGAAAAATGTCCAAGTTCAAGTAAATTCAAATACAATTTTTGTTTGTATTCTTTTTTTATATTCATTCATTTATTTTTTCTAGAATTGTAGCAATTAGTCTAATAGCAATTCATCGTATGAGACTAATAGCTATGAAACACACACAACCCAAAATTGATCTCACACGGTCTCAACTCGATATAACACATTACAATTTACCAAAAAAAATGCCATGGATTAAGTGTTAATAATACGATGTTTCCCATTTTATGCCATTATAATTAGTAGATTTATATGTTTACATATAATTTTATTTTAATATTTTATACATTAATCATTTTTAAGTATTTAGTATAAGATTTTTATGATTAACTTATACATTTACCTTTATTGTGATATTTGTATATATTAACTAGTTATTAATATTTTTAAAAGAAAAGACTTGAAAAATGTGCCTTCTATTATTTTAATGTTTTATATATATTTTTACATTTGGTATTTTAAAATACACATTTTTTTTTAAATCATTACTAAATATGACGTATTATTCTTGATGTATAGATTGGGCCTTTTGGAATTTTTTTTGATACCTTATTATCTTTATCCATGCATAAGTTATTCTTTTCGAGGTAGTCCTAAAAATCAAATATTATTTATAAACACATTTATATATTTATTTTTATTTATCTAGTAATACTGACTTTCACTGTTTTAAGTAATGGCACAACTGGACTGCCCACTAATTTCTTTTTCTCAATCACATTATTTGCATACTCAAGGAATTCTTCATCTTCTCTGTGCCACTGATGTTCAAATGCTTCGTGGCGATCTATATCAGCCTGTCTATTGGCTAATAATGTGATCCTTTTATCATTCTACTCCACAACAACAAGAATATAATTATATTATTTAAATTCTTAAAGAAGAAAATCAATTTTATTAATTTTTACTAATTGTATATTTCATACTATTATTACAATTTTACTTTTACTCAAGTCCTAATAAAATTATTTATAAAATAATAAAATATTAAAATATTTGTGATAAATTTTATTTAATATTTAATCAAAATTGTAATACGGATTATTGCTTATTTGAAAATTTTACTTATAAAAAAATTATAAAACAAGAAGTGTTGTACTCAATTTGATATATAATAACGTTTAAATAGATAAATCTCTAACAATAAAATAAAAAATAAAAATATTCTTCTATTATAGAGTTGGTGCTTTAAATTGAGGAAGTTATTAGTTATATGGATCTAACAAAGAGACAGAAAAACTATAAAAATCAAATTAAATTTATTTATCTAAATAAATTGGCATAACTTTTTAGGAAATAGACAATGCATTGTTACTAAAGTCAGTATTTTGAATCCTCTCCTTGAAAACAACAGAGGTCCTAACAAAATTTTAAAATTAACTAGCAAAATTTGACAAATTTAATTAAATAATTAATGTCCATGAAGTTGGCCTACCTACTTTATCCAATAAACTTAAAGCATATACCAAAAAGTAACAAATAATTAACTAGGATAATAGAAAATTCGTTTTTGAATTTATCAAGTTAATAGATAGTAACTTTATATTTTATATGATAAATATTCTATTAGACGGAACAAATTCTGGTAGCTCACTCACTTGTGTTGTTAAAATATTGTTAAATAAACAGGTACTCACCTTAAGAGTTAATAAAGTAAATCTGAACTTGGTCCACTAGGTATAAATTTTAATTTGCTAATAGCAAGGTGACTGGAAAATTTAGAAAACCAACTTGATATTTCCATTTGTTGGCATGTATTTTAGGTCTATTAGGTAAAGTGGGTGAGACAAGTTAATAGACATAAATAATTTAACAAATTTTGTTGTAGGTATGCCCATAAATAAACTATCATCGTGTTTGTTAGTGAATTTGAAATTTTAGGGCTCCCTAACAAAATCTAGCAAATTTTTGATACTAGAGTAATTTACATAGGTACTTATATAGTCTTAGCATTATGTGTCAATGCCAACTTGTTAGACATTTTGTGGATGATATGGTAACTTAACTATAATATATGTATATATTTTAGCTTGGTCCACAAAAAAGAGAGATAGAAATGTAACGTTAGTCGTTACAGCGGTTGGAAAAGCATGTAGGACATGTAGATATTATAAAGAAAAGAAAATATATGAGAAATTTAAAAAAAATAAAAATAAAGTAAGGACATAAAAAATATACTCACACATTGTTTATCGAGCTGCTCCCGAAACTGTTTAGCGTTTTCCATTTGCAATCGTCTACGTAAGTTCACAAACTCTGTTAACAATTTTTTTTCGCGTTCGCGTCTGTACATCTCCAATTGAAAGTCTTGTTCCGATCGCTCTCGTCGCCTATGGATCTCCTCTTTCCATAGTTTTTTACCGATGTCTATGTGTTCTATTTTCTTATTGGCCAGCTCTTTTTTTTTGCGCTCCTTTTCTCGATACCTGCAGTTGGTAGACAGTGAGTACCGAAAACAAAAAACTGATGGCATAGAATATGAATAAGCATTAAGCTGCATTTGGAAAAAATATCTAAACCGATCATATATTTAGACAAATATAATAGTTTTAAATAATATTAATAGAATGAGTCTTTTACACTATACACATACGTATACGTGTAATAAAAATAGATTTTTTCAAGGAGGTATAAGTTAACAATACAATTCGTGAAAATCTGAATTCACCGAGGAATCCAACTTAAGGTAAGAAAATGTTCTTATAGATTGCAACGTGCAAGTGGTTATTAATGCTATTGATTATGGCTTATAATCAATCAATCAATGCTTATATAGTTGTTGGCATTTTATATGGTTATGCAAAATTATTAAATAGAACCTTAGTAAAATCAGATGTATACACTGGTGTCTGGTGATGACAAGTAGGTACTTACACAGGTATATCGTATATGTTTAAGGAAATTGTAAAATATACAGAATTTATGACTCTTGCAGTATTGCAGTAGGTAGTGCTGTTGAACATGAAAGCAATGATTAATTGAAGAAATTATAGATACTGCTACGTGGCAGAAGAACTTAAAAAAAATGCGTAAATGGAAGATTATTTTCTAAATTTGCTTAAACTTGCAGCGCGTGCTATTAGAACATTTTCTGACCGTTTTTCCTGCGCTTCTATAGCGTCCTGCACGTCAGACTCTGCCCATCCATTTGGTTTCGTCGGCCAAGCCGCCGATCTCATTCTCATCTCCTCCAGCGCCAATTGTTTAACCTCCACCATCTGTCCGAACAGAACAAAATTGAACTTAAGAAATGGTAATTATTGTTCACATTGTTTATATACAGTTATGCAGAACAACGTAAGACATATAAATGTTAATTAGAGCTAAAATGACGCTTGAAATTTTGATTTGTACCTACATATTTTTACATAATAAAACATAATATTAGAAATTTAGAAAGAGAATAGATAATGTAATATTATTAGAATATTTAATACGCGTATATTATTTATTATATAGGAGGCAGAAGTATTGCATTAAGTTCATCTGTACAGGACGAAATAAGGGCAGCATAGTCTCTTTGTATATATTTTAACTTAATGTGTTAAGATATATTTATAAGAATAGATGCTTCTGAATTTTTTTTCATTCAAAAACGTCGCATTTTAATGATTTGTTTTATTCTTGTGATTATATGATGAATTTTAGTTTTTACGTTCTGATTTAGCCGATTAAAATAAATTCCCAAGTCCTTTCGGTGTTTAGCTAATTTATTATGAATGCGTTATCATTGTTATCAATATAAAGATACATAATAAATTACTTCTATTTCTTTTAATCTTCGCGCTCTAGCTAAAGCTTTTTTTGTCTCTGCCATGATAGTAGTGACCATTTCTTCTTCCCATTCCTCCGTCTTACGCACTTCGTCTTGTTTGGTTATCATCATGAGGTTTTCCACTAAATCCTTTTGTAGTTTTTCCTTCGCTACCCGTACCTAAATAATTTACCAGTACACCGGTTACAAATATCATTATTATAAACGATTCATGTAGGTACTTGACAAAAAATTGCTCTAATATATTATATAGTATTGCATTAATGTAGCTCTCACTTCGGTAGCGGCCATTTCTTGGGCTTCCTCGATTTCTTCAGCGATTTTTTGTAATTCCATCTTACCAGACTCACGGTATGCAATTCGTTCTTCGTTTCTCTTATCCTCACGTTCCTTCAGCCTGAAATGTATTAACATATTGATAATCTTACCACGAAACTCAGTCAATAGTCTGTTAAATTAAATTACTCTTTTAACAAAATTTCGGCTTTAGATCTTTTTAGTTCATTGTATTTTTGTTTTTCGTTCGCTTGATGTTTTCTGTACCGTTCTGTTTCATTGTTTTGTTCTTGAGCCGTCTCGAGATCCTTTTGCATCCTCTTCTGTCTCTCAGCCTCATTAAACTTAAATTGTATCGCCCTCTCTTTGAACACCTGAAAAATCGACTCTGTGACAATACAATTACTTAAGCTACGTTTGGTTTTAATAATACGATAATAATCATCAATCATCATAATAACTTCAGAATGTAGCAGAGCTCTAGAGAATGTTTTCATCGCATCTCTCTCTTCAAATTTTTGCTTGTACGCTTTCGCGATAATTCTGTTTCTGGCGTCTAATGCTTCTCTCTTCATCTCCTCATCTCTCTGCTGTCGTTTGGCTTCCAACTCAGAAAGTGCTTTTCGTTTTTGTTCCAAAAGTTTCTTAGTCTTGTTCTGTACACACGTATTAACATCATTTCAAATATAGTCATAAGTCTTAATGTCAATATATCATGTAGGATGTACTAAGTATAGCTGCTATAGTTGCTACACGTCTGTAAAAGTTATGACTAAGTTATGAGCCATAATTTATGACTAACCAGCTCTGTGTTGTCCCAACCATCTACCATTTTTTTTGACGTTTCTCGACGCATTTCTTTTAGTCGTTTGCTGGCCTCTACCGATTCCTCTTCATCCATTTTTTTTGTTAAAATTTTCCCCAATCTTTTCCATTCTTTGTTAGATATTAAAAGCGCACGATTACTAGGATTTCGGTGACCGACGTAAACAATTTCCATAATTAGACTGATGAAAATAATAAAGAATATTTGCATAAATGTGCTTTTATTTCGAAAATGTGTGTTGACTAGTGTTAAATGTAGGTACAAAAATAATTCATTGATTGTTTAGATACACTTTTAGTTGTCATTGACAACAAACAAAATGTACTAAAAAAAATCGTAAATCAAATAAAAATCGAAGTGAATCATATTATACGTCAAATTAGACTTTGTGTTCTTAAATATCTATGTATAAATATATATATAGGTAACCTATATGACTCATGCTGTAACTTTTAGGTTTATAGTTTTTTAGGTTTGTTCAATGTTTGTTCATTGTGCATGTGGTATTAATACTATAAATTTGAATACATTCCATAAATATTGAATAAATTGACTACCTATTTATTCTTTTAAACTAAGACATTAAATAAATGAATAAATATTAAATTCAATTTTTGTTACAATATAATTAAATTAATTCAAATACAATACACAGGTAACCATAGTATTAACTATTAACAAATTAACTGTTTTGTCAATTTGTAATAACTAATAAGTAATAACTAATAGGTAGGTTAGTATCCATGTTTATCGATATACACTAAGGATTCCTTAGTGAATAAATTTAAATGACACTTCTTTTACAAAATTTAACCGCGTCAATTCTCCACTAGTAAAAGAAAGCACCTTTTCTTTTAAAAAATAACACTACAAAACACTATACTTATTTTATTTTATATTTTATTAGATGGACACTTCTAGCGTTGACACGTGCCGGTATACTGGCAAGTTACAATACCTATGTTATCCGGCGACAATAACTGTTCGGTTACGTTGTAATATACGTCTTATTTAGATAAGATATTATATTATTATTTAATAATATAATAATAATATATATATATATATATTACCGCGGACCTAATTCGAGTATTTTAAAATAATACCGCGGACCCAACTCATGTTTTTTTTAAGGGATCAAATATTTCGGGACCCAACTCGCATTTCCCCTCTATAATCTATAGTACTTAAGTTTACCACTCGTGACTCTCGCTACACGATATTACGATATACCACCTTCGATATTTCTCATTGACTACTAATGTTATTTTTATATTTTTTCATTCAATCATTTTTCGTAGTATTTACTATACTAACGATTCTCTACATAGGGCTTGCCAAAAATTTTTTTATGTCGCCAATACATAACAATAATAATAAACTTACATCATAATTAAACATTCGCTAAAAATCTTATTGATTTATACTTTATAGAGGTTCACGGCCTCAAAAAGGTTGTGAACCGTTATAAGATGATGGTATCTAACAATTTAACAACATTGAACATTCTAGCATTGCACAGCGCCGTGAATTGTGATCATGAACTATTTTTTTTTTTTAAGAGATATCTTAGTTTATGATTGTGACAGTATAAATTATGATAACATTAATAACAATTAATGCTATGAAACCGTTATCAGTACGATAAACAATTTAAAAAAAAACACATGTTAAATGAACAATAATAAATTGAACTTCGTGATTCGTGAATGTTTTAAAAATTAAATACCACTCAATACTAATTAATACTAATTAATAATATACAATACTTAATTGTTAGGCTTAAGTGCTCAACAATAATAGATGTTCATTAAGTTTACAATTTATAATGTTTATTTAATGTATTTGCATTTGACTCATTGACTCACGATATTTAGATTCATTCGCTATCCGTGTTTCATTTGCCAATGACGACCACAGATCAGAAAATACGGTTGAAGAAATTTTAGTATTAATTCTCGTTTTGTAATTGAATTTATGGTTAACGTGATTAAAATATAAATAATACAAATAAATTGACAAAAAAAGTAAATATAAATTAACTATTTTAATTGTTTTACCAATTTTAAAATATTTTCACTAATTATCTGTACATTTAAAAAGAAAAAATGTTTTCTTATTAAATGTTTAACGTTTAATAAAAATGTTGTGTTAGATTTATAATCAAGATATTTAGCTAAACACAATGGATCACTTACAACAAGGTTGGTTCACTGAGTCCGATACATGGCCAGGTGCTGGACTTTCATTACAAATAGAAAAAGTGCTTCATAAAGAAAAATCCCCATATCAAGATATCATGGTGTTACAAACGTAAGTGTCTGCATAGTTATATAGCAGATTTTTCAAAACTATTGATAATCATATCTACCTCATTTTTTTTAACAGAAAATCATTTGGAAAAGCTTTAATTTTGGATAATATAATTCAATGCACAGAATTTGATGAATTCACATACCAAGAGATGATAAGTTTCTTACCACTTTGTAGCCATCCTAATCCAGAAAAAGTTTTAGTAGTGGGTGGTGGTGATGGGGGTGTTGCACGTGAAGCTGTTAAACATCCAAAAGTTCTTAGCATTGATGTTGTTGAAATTGATGAACGAGTAGTGAAACTTTCAGAACAATATTTACCGTTTATGGCTTGTGGTTTTAAACATGATAAGGTGACACTGCATATTGAAGATGGGTTTGAGTTTATGAAAAACAATGTCCAACAATTTGATGTCATCATTACAGATTCTTCAGATCCAGTTGGTAAGTACTTTTAATTTTTAAAGAGTAAAAATGTTATTTTAATATGTTATGTGATGGGAAAATTTAAATATATTTTTTTTAAGGTCCAAATGAGTCATTATTTCAGAAAACTTATATTGAATCATTGAAAAGTTCTTTAAAACCTGGTGGTATCATATGTTCCCAAGTTGGATCAATTTGGATTAAAGAAGATCAGGATACAATGACCAGGTTGGCTAAAGATTGTTCAACAAACTTTAAAAAGGTCACTCTAGCCACTATATCTATCCCATCTTACCCAACTGGAAACATTAGTTTCATTTTAGCTACAGACAATGAGGTATAAATAATTACCCATAAAATTTGGTTTATTGTTATTTATTAATTGAATAATTGTGTATTTCTCATGTTATTTCAGCTAGTAAATTTCAAAATACCAGCATATAGTTTCACACTAGAAGAACTTAATAAATACAAACTAAAGCATTACTCACCAGATATACATTCTGCTTCATTTAGTATTCCTAGATTTGCTCGGATGGCTATTCCAGATCTTAATTGTTAATATTGTTTTAATCTTTTAATATTACTACATTTATGGGCTTAATTTTGTCAAATGGCACTTTATTGTTATGCTCGCAATTAAATTACTTATTTAAAATAATTAAATATTTATTACACAACAAATAGTATTAAATTATAGATTTTAGTATTTTTAATTGCATTGTTGTTCTATTTTGTATTCTAACCAAAAAATGTGATCAATCTTAACTATGTATTATTAAATTAATTGATTCTCATAGGTTAGTGTTAATAATATTGAATTACAAAATAGATCATAATAAAAATAAAAAATTGATATTTTAAATATGTGTTGTAAATATTATAACTTATAATAGATAACTGATAGTTTAAAATTTAAATATTTCATTATTTTGTTTGTATATTCAGTTACACAACATGTACTTGCTTGTTATCACTCTGTCACCAAGCTTTATACAATCTTTTACACAGCGTTAGTAACCTGATAATCTTTAATAGAAAAATTATGTATTCATGATCAATATTTCTCTACATTTTAATAACTTACATGCAACAGTCTTACCAGGATAATGTTAATTGATCTATTAATTGAAAAAGAATAAATATTCTTTATTATATTTTATTATGTAATAATCATGTTTATTTTTAATCTTTTGCTTTAATATTCTATTAATATAGTTTCAAGTGTGAACATTATGAACCTATTTTAAAACATTATTAACTTATTTAAAAAAAATGTTAAAAATTAATTTTAATGAAAGATTTGTAGTGGCCTTCAAGTTATACTACAAAAAAATATTGATTAAATAAATAATATGTGTGACAATTGTTGACAAAGATCAAAAAATGATAACTTTAGAAAATAGTGTTATAGTTTTTATTTATGTGTTAGTGTGTTACTGTCTTATGATGATATATTAACAATCAACTGTGCTATTCTTAAAAAATAAAAATATATAAAAATAAATAATATAATATCATAATCTTGTATCTATTACTATTCTATGGTATTTTACAAAAGATTTCTTATTGGCCTGCAGGCGCTATGTTGCCACCAACTAAAATGTCAATTATAACTGGTTGGCGGTTGGTAGTGGTCATGGTTTTGACTAGTAAAGTGGGTAATAACTAATAACTAATAAGTTATTAGAGCCCGGATTTATATGCTCTAAAAACCTCAGAAATATGTACTATAAAATATGCATTTATGCTCTTTTTAATAGAAATATATATCCTATAGAATGGGTTATAAATATGTTATTTTAATTAAAATAAGCAAAATATTACATAATATTATGCATTTAAAACCCATAAATATGTTACAAAAATCGTAAAATACAGATATGCGTAGTACATGTCAAAATATGCAAAATAAAACTATATTTTAGATTTATTTAACTTAAAAATAAATAACCGCCAATCTTTGAAATTATTCTTAAATGTTTTTAAGATTATTTTCTATGCATAATTTAAGCTATTAATAAATATTTGAAATTTTCTATTTTTTAGTGATTTTTATAAATATTGTCAAACAACTAGTTGTTGTGTAAAACTGTAAAACTACTTTGAAATTTAATACGAGTAGGTTTATCATAAAATACTCATATATCAACAAGCAAGTATTAAAAATGTTTAGACATTTAGTTATAATATTTTTTCATAATTGATTAAATTTCAAAATTTCAAAATTTTTTATTATTTTGTAGTTAGAAATTCATAAAAAAATGTCTTTATATACTTAAGGTTTTAAAATATAATAAAAGAATCTTTATAGGTTTTCGAATTAATATTTAAAAAAACATTTTTACAGACGAGTCATATTTTTTATAAGCACATCTGCACTTGTAAAGTTGTAAAATAGTTATATGTATTACGACTGTAACGTAAATTGATACATACCTATTTGACTACTGACTAGTATAAGTTATAAGCGGGGATCGGGACTTAAAGCAAATTCTTATTTTTATGGATTGACTTCAAATGTAGCCCAGTGGTAAGGAAGTATATGTTATGTTACAATACGCTCAATTATGAAATTTTGAAGTGCTTTTTTTTGCTGTTTTCAACGATTTTTTTAAAAGATGCTTTTTTGACCAGTTTTTTTACTTTTCAGGGTTTTTCCTGCAATGTTGTTAATAATAGAATAAACAATAAGGCAATATGTCTCAAAAGTGAAATTTGATTTTTTTTATACAAAGATTTATTTATTTTTTAGCTAGAAATTTTTCCTAATTATTTTGTTTCGATATTTTTTAATGATCTTTAATTATATTATTTTTTGCACAGTTACAAATTATGTCTAGCACCTACTTTATCGTGTAAAAAGAAAGTTTTTTTTTTTTTTTTTGATTAAATATTTTTGCTCAAATTTAAGTTTTTATATATCTACCTAGTTATTTGAGTGCTTAAATGATGTTTTAAGTTTTTAAGCGCTAATATTAATGATTTTAAGTGCTATATGTCCCGAGCCCTGGTTATAAGTTATAAGTAACGTACATATTATCATTGATTATAAATTAGGTAGATACTATAATACTAATATCAATAGGTACCTAATCAATGAATAATGATATACAAATTTAATGTCGTGTTAATTAATTTAACATTTTAATAGTGAACATCATAAATTTGATTTCATTGATTCTTGCATTTATACCTTATTAGTTATTAGTGTTATTACCTTTTGGCTTTCACCATTATATTCTAGTCGCATTCAGTATTTCAGTGTTATGATAACTGATGAGAGTTGTGATTACTGCACTGCACCAGTTATCGACGTTATCGTTACAGGACACGGACAGATATTATGGCACTATCTAATATCGTCTATTGGTCGTTGGATAGATAAATTCGGTATTTTGAATTTTCTAAATTTTCTTGATACTTGTCAGTTGTCCATGGCTTTTTTGAGATAATGATTTTTTTTTTTTTAATATAATAAAAGCCACATGAAAATTCAAATTATCAAATGAAGAAAATTACAATTTTTTACTGTAATATCATTGGCTGTCGGATATAAATACCTGTATTTATTATATATTACTGATATTAGCCTTGTAGTATGTTCATCATTATATATTAATATATTGTTCATAGGTCTGTAATTAGTTACAGTACCACATACGATGGATCAACAGGTACCAATTGTCAGAAAATTAGCAGAAGACGTAGTAAACAGAATTGCTGCCGGTGAAGTAATTCAAAGACCAGCTAATGCTTTAAAAGAACTTTTAGAAAACAGGTACCTACAGTCTTGCACTATCTATTTATTATGGAATATTTTCTTGGATTTAATTTTTTTACGCACTTTTATATTATTGTAAATGTGTTGTAACTTGTAAGTATGAACAATTAACTGAATATGAATGTGTCAATAATGTACATCTGTCATTTAGAAGTTATAACTGTTTTTTATATGATTAAAATATTATTTTTTTATTCACTAAAATTTGTATTAGACAGTAGACTATATCAGATCATAACCAGGGTCGTCATTTGGGACGAGGATCAGGGTGTGCAGTTGCACCTTTTACTTTTAAAATAGTACTAATTGGCCTGCACCCTGCTGAGATAATGCTCAAAATGAAATCTTCTTAAATTGTATTTAAATTTTAAATTTTTACATTGACATTTATCAATATTAGTATACTGTCAATTATAATTGTTAATTATTTATTATATTTTAGTTTTTAAATTGATTTTTTTTATTTATATTGATGCAATGATTTGGTTCATGTGATGTATAGAAATAATTGAAAGCAGGATAATGTACATATACATATATCTATTTTTATATGGTCTGGTGAAATTTCAAAATGGCCTGTTTGAAATCTCACACACCCCAAAAAAATCTGAAATGACGTCCCTGATCATAACTTGTACTTACGTTTTCAGTCTGGATGCTAAATCTACAAACATTCAAGTTACATTGAAAAATGGAGGTTTAAAATTACTTCAAGTAAATATTATTATTACTATAATTTTGCTTAATTAATAACTTATTCTGTTTTTTTAGATACAAGACAATGGCACTGGTATTCGCACTGAGGATTTGGGTATTGTATGTGAACGGTTTACTACCAGTAAATTACAGCAATTTGAAGATTTGACTAAAATATCTACTTATGGATTTAGAGGTGAAGCACTTGCTAGCATAAGTCACGTTGCTCATTTGACAATCACTACAAAAACCAATGGAGCTCTTTGTGCTTACAAGTAATAATCATAAACAATTATAAACTTTTATTTTTAGTGTTCAACCTTAAAGTTGGTGTTACAGTTTTCTGTAGTTTATCCACTCATTTCTATCACCAACTAGTCTTTTTAATTCCTTGTATATTGTTAGTCATGCATCGGATATCATCTTTTTAATGTAAGATGTTCTTGGTTACCCTCTATCTTTTTTGCAATTTATTTTCCCTTAAATTATAATATATAAAAGCTCTTTTCTATGCTTTAGTATATGACCAGTCATATCTTCTTTCTCTGATGGTGTTAAGTAACTTCCTTTTCTATTTATTTTGTATAGTATACTTTTTTCATTTGTTCATCTTTCTGTCCAGCTCATCAAAGCATTCTTCTTCAGTACCACTTTTCAAAACTATTGAGGAGTTTTAGTTCTGTTTTGTTCAGTACCTAGAATTCACAACCGAATAGTGTGACACTCCACATATATCATTTTTAATTTTGTTAATTCTAGAAATGATATCAGTTCTCCTCCTACTATCAAACTAATGTTGTCTCTGATGTGTTTCTTTAATTTTGTTGAGAGATTGTTCTACTTAAATATTGAATAATATTTGTAATAGTGGGCATCTTTGTTTTACAACTTTTATAATTTTGACTTTTGAAGACTCGTGTGACACTTGTATTATGGCTGATTATTCTTTATGTTTGTTATTTATTATCTGCCTATTTCCATAATCAACACCTAATTTGTTTAGTGTTTTAAAAAGGTCCTTACAGGGACCTGTGTCTAATGATTTTTCTTAGTCAATAAATGCAATGAATGTATCTTTATTAAATTTTATCTGCCTTTCAATTTATATTCTTAAGCTCAGGATTGCCTCTCTAGTCCCCTTGTTTCTTCTAATCCAAATTGATCATTACTTAACTGCCTTTTAATCTTATGTTCTATCTATTTATTTATTATTTTATGTGTATTGTAGCTGGGTGTACCATCATCTTATGTTTTGCCAAGAATTTTGTTT